CACCAGCTCCCTTTTTGTAATTCTGTTGAGAGAGCGTACCTACAAAGAAAATATTTACGTAAATTATGAAATGTTTGTAAATAATTTATCGTTGCATGTAAAAGAGTATGGTGGCTGTGACGATAAGCTGTTTGATTCGACGGTATTAAATTTTATTAAGACAGAGTATAAATGTATTATCATTTTATATGAGATTTACTTAAAGATGCCTAGTGTGTTAAGGTACCATGTTCAAAGTAGGTTAGCTTATTTTAAGGATCATAATGATTATAACTTTCCTAATTTAGACTTCCCCCGAGATGTAAGCAGCAAATAAATAAATAAATAAATAAATAACTAAAATCTGTACTAAAGTGTAATTCCTTTTCCCTCTAACCACATATATAATCTGGTTGAAGGATTGTTTAAAGTATGTTAACCATTCAAAGACTGATCTCGATACGTACAAATTCTATTCAAAGCGTCATGTACGGTCTGTATAAAAATAAATAATACAAGGATGTATGGTTGTACACATCAGAACTCATTTATAGTTATAAAAAGTGTATATTCATTTAAAATAGTTACATGATATATATAACAGTATTTTGATTGAAATAAAATATAAATAACAGTTTAGTATTAGGAGTAAATATAAAAATATAACGAAAATGAGAACAAACATTAATCATAGCGCGTATTGTAACCAAATGGCAAAGTGTCATAACTATCATCAACACGTCTGCGCTTTGTGTACTTTATACCGTATGTTTTTTCACACGTTTTTGTAACAACGTCATACTGCGGCGTGCGAAGAATACGTCGATCATACAACTTGATCTTATTTGCATCGTTTGGAGTCGCTGGGTTTTCATTAAACAACAGCGTTTTAATGCTGTCAAAATTTACGCTTTGCTGATTTTTATAGTTAAGAGTAATTCCTTTAACCTTGCATTTTGTCTCCTACGTGTTTTTATTTGTTCTGAAATATTTTAGGCCGTAGTTTTTAGGGCCGCCGCTCACGAATTCAACTATGTGGCTCCCCTGACCGTGCTCAGTCATCTCATCCGTCATATTGCCCAGGAAGTCACCAACCTGGGGCAACCATTCGCCCTCTTTATGGGTGAAGATGACGCTATCCGTATCGTAATATAAAACGCGACGCCCCAGTTTTTCCAAATAGTTGTATAGCTCGAGTCGTGCTCCCGCCGTCGTGTATGCTGCAATAGCAACATTCACCGTTTTTAACGGATTTACGTCATCTTCGACGCGTTCCGAGGTGGCTAGCAATACGTCGGAATTGATGACCATTAATCTATTGACGTTAACTGAGTGGTTAGTAATCAGTTTAAATAGATCTAGAGGCTCGTCAACAATATCTGTTTTTTGGGAGTTTTCTTTCTGTCCAAATTTACCCCAAAACGAATTTAACATACATTTGGCTAGAAGTCGTAAGCCGCTATTTTGGGAAATATTTTCGGCATCTAAATCTATATTTTCGTTTTCTTTGTATTGGCGTACGTACTCCCTCTTTTGCTCATCAGTAGTACACCATTCTGGCCAACCACTGCACTCCTGTTTTAACTTTAAAAAGCTGTTCACGTACGCCGTGAATAAACCGGGGGAGTTAGTTTGGTTGTCGTACATTGCAACGTTGTACTCCCACCCCTCTAAAACGTTTAAAACCCTGTATCCCAACTCAAGCGCCTTACGCAGCTCATCAGCCACAAACGTCCCAACAAATTAACGATCGACATCGTCATGCACACAGTCTACTTGGGCTGAATTTTCAACACATGCTCGGCACAGAGGAAAAGTTAATTTTCCGCTGCACCGATAAGGCAACACAGGATGATAGAAGTTTTGCGGTGGGAGTACAGTGCATTTAATCAAGCCCTCAATTGTTTGAACATCCACTGTTGAACACTCATCTCTACCAACATAAATCTTTTTCGGATGTCCGACAGGGTATTTACCATATTTATTGCTATACGGGTAGAGGGAGCACACGTCAATATATAAAATTTTCTCCTGAGGTCCGCATTTGTGATAGAGTCTGCACGCATTGGTGCGTCCTCCAAAAAACGCATTTCTCGGATTGTGCGGCGCGATTTTTGCTGCCCCTTGCGATTCGCTAAAGGCAGCAAACGCTTAAAGTCGCACTCCCACATAGTGACAAGGTTATAACCAGCTTCTTTAATCCTCTCTTCTCTTGCCCTAGTGTTTTCGTGACGTAAAAACAGAGCATCATTTTTGTTTGCAAGAGACGAGGTTTGATTAAAGTAGCACCGGTTACAACCATGCCACCAACACCCGAAAAATTCGTATATGGTATTATTTTTGGCGCAGTAACCGTCTATGAGAAACCCGTTTCCAGCATGCTTGATGAATGCACCGGTAGTTTGCGCGACCCAATTCAACCAGAGAAGAGCTACTCTTGATTGATTGTCTAGACGGTAACCGTTGTAAGGGATAATACCGATGGTAACCGTTGTAAGGGATAATACCGATGGTCTCAGGGAGCAAGAATTTTTTTCTAAAAACCAGATTGTAGGCGGATGCAATCGTCAAACACTCCAAGAAAGGATCTACGTTGTTCGCGTCAAGAAAACATTTTCTAAACTTGAGGCAACCCTTCCTTAAAATGTTGACGTCTTGGACGCAATATTTTACAATTTCCTCGGCCATATTGAAAACGTAATTATTTGACACTTGTATGGCGTGCTATTTTAAAAATTCATCTCTCTCCCTGGGGCACATGCTGTCACATCCAAATTCCTCGGGCGGGGGAAGTGCTCCGACATAATTTTCATTAACTTTTTTATTAAAGAAATATGGGAAATAGCCCTTATCACCTTCAATTTAAACGCTTTAGCGAACTGCGCAAGGGGCAGCTGTATAAAATTAAGGCTATCGATAAATCTTATCAAATCGCCGCACGTTATCGAAATTAATTTGGTTCCAGTTCTTAAAACTTGCGGTTTCTAGCGACTCACATTTTCAAAAATGTTTCGCAAAATAAAACAACCGTCGAAACTCTTCATGTTGTGCGCTATAGCTGTTATTTTAAATTTTTTAGATGCAACTCGCAATAGTACGATGTGGAAAAGACACCGGTCAAGCTTAAAATCACATTGTAGTGAAAGTTCTCCATAACCAGATTAAGGCATTTTTTACCGTGGGCTCTTATTCCCTCAAAATATACGGAACTACCGTCGCGCTTGTTATACACAACGATGGTGTATTCCCCGAGAGAATTTTGAAATTCTACAATGTGATTGTAATGACCACCGTGTGTCAAATCCACATTCGCTCTACGGCATAAATCAATAGCCATGTCGTTCAACAGATTTTGCCCCCTGCGTCCGTTAAATTTCTTTAACGAAATTCTTCGATGATCGTTGTTAGCATATTCGATCGCTACAACTAAAGCAGCCGCCAAACAATTATTTCCTCTATTTTCAACAATGTATATGCTGTTCTTTTGAACGCTGAATTCATCAAAACTTACACACTTGCCGTCAACCAGTGTTCTTCCCGAACCAGTGGGTGGTCGTATGCGGTCCACGTGGATGGTTAGTTAGTCACTGGCAAAAAATTCAGCGTTATTCTGAAGTACTGTCTCCATGATGTCCATAATAACTGCTGCGTTTAGTTGTAAGTATTTCCTAAATGACACCCCCAACGGTCTTTCCGGGAAATTTTCGTTTTTCATCGTGATGCCTACGATGTCACTGGATACAAATTCCCTGCATGTATACCTCAATAGTTCATCAATGGCATTCTAGAAAATGTTGTTTTAGTATACGTTTATGAAATAATGATAAAAAAAAATATTAATTACCTGTAGCCATTGCGCTGGGTTTTTTCGGTAATCTTCAGATTGGTCGTTGAATTTAAAATTTAAACACCTGGAGATTAACCCAAATTTTTTAATAAACGTTTCTGATTCTTGATTGCAAACTACATATTTGGCATCTGCGGTTTGCTTATCATCGCGTTTTGGTTGTTTGAATACTTCTAAAAACACGGAAAGTTATAAATAATACATAACTATTAAACTTACGTTGTGTTCATAATTACAGTTTTGTTAGAATAAATAAATAAATACTTACCAAGTGTGGGGCTATGTCCTGAAGTCGACGGGACAGCATCGTTATCTTGTCCCAGACCTGATCCTGTTTGTTCGGGTTGATTTTTGCTAAACATTTCACTTCAAAATTCCTCGGGTACCCGGGCACGTACCTATAAATAATATTAATAATAAAACGCTAAGCTTGAATTCTTGCTATAGTGATTTTACGTCTGTGAAATTAACAATGATTGATACTTACAACTAGCGGCTGCGACCTCCGAGACATCGGGATTTTCTTCTACCGCTTTTTCAACAAATAGCTCTGACCAGAGTTCATCAAAATTTTCATACCACGGTGTTTCCTCACATACTTCTTCAAGTTTATCTTTTGCTACCGGGTTTAGTTCCTCGACTGGAGAAACATCTATAATTTCACTACCCTATATTATTTGTCTTTAAAAGGAAAAGAGAAAAATCTTACCTGTAGCATTCACTCTCTGCGATAACTCGTTGTATGCTTTCAGCTCTTCCCCAACGAGTTCGGCGTTGTCAGTTCTTTTCTTAATATTATTTAATGCGACATGCAGCGTATCATCGTCTTTAAAATAATTGTCCCTGTACATGGTAATGATAGCACCAATAGATAACTGATCCAAAAATTTTTCAAACAGAGACATGGCAGAATGTCAAATCGAAAACACTACACTTGGAACGCACTCACGAAATATCGGAATACAAGTGACGTCAGGGAGAACACGGCAGTTGCTTATATAACATTTTGGATACGTGCTTTCATTTTTAAAAATCTTTCTAGAATGATCATCTGTGTAGCAATAAAAGGGATTTTTTTGACAAAATACGCATGCCCATCATATATGCATATACATCTTTAAAATATTACGCGATATTATTGTTGTTAACTGTAAACGCACTTCATTTTCTGCATTTAATCGATTTCTGTACGTACATACGTCGAAAACGATATTTCGCACAAATACGTAGTGGAAAATGGCATTAAAATTGTTGTAGGCCATTTGGAAATTTCTGGATATTCTGTTGCAATGTTAAGCCAAAAATTAAGTAGATCTTCTCCACGTTTTGACAGCAAAGTAGAATCGGTAGCAATTTCTATTAACTGTTCTTTTTCTTTAATTGCTAAATCATCAGATTTGTTATAATTTTTAAACGGGCCTTTCATCCAGTCATGATGAGCATTTTTTTCGCCTGGAAAATATTCTTTTAAAGTCGCTTTTAACTGGCAAGATGTTCTAAAATACATAGTTTCACATCGTAGTCTAATTCTAGTTCATCTTCAATTAGAAAATTATTGAGTTGTACTAAACATCTACATTATTCTCTCTTACAATTGATTCCCACACATCTAATTTTAATAGTAATGCATTAATTTTGTCCGAAACCTTGATAATATGTACCGTGAGTCCTTGATATTAATTTCATTCAGTATTGCAAAAATGTCTGCCAGGTAGGCTGCCAATTGTAACCGGTTTTGATCATGTAATTTTTGGGCATACTCAGATTTTCGTTCATTCAAATACATCCTTACTTCATCTTTTAATTTAAAAAATCGGCTCAAGATATTCCCTCGCGATGATAACCAACGCACCTCTGAATGTAGAAGCAAGGTTTTATGATTACTAGATAATTCCTCACATAGCAAGGTAAATAATCTTGAGTTTAATTCCTTAGATTTAATGAAATTAATAATTTTCACAACTTCATCCAAAACATCTTTTAATAGTTTTGGTATTCGTTTTGCCACGAGTGCATAAAGATGAAGGCAGCAATGACAATGTTGCATGTGTGGAGCTATTGCTTTTATTCGTGAGACTACCCCTTTGTTTGAGCCCAATAATGCTTTTGCTCCATCTGTACAAACATGTGAAGATAGATCCCAAGTTAATCTATGGTCTTCCATATATTTATGTAATAGTTGGAAATTTTTTTCACCAGTAGCTCTCTCTGTTAGAGGTTTGCAAAAAAGCATATGTTCTTCAATGGTAGAATTCCAAACATAACGGACCAAAACTATCAAAATCGCCAATCCAGCAACATCTGTTGTTTCATCCAATTGCATCGTAAATTGGTGAGGAGATTTTAAACGAGAAATTAATTCATCTTCACAAAATGATGACATTGTCTTAATCCGTCTTGCGATTGTAGTATCAGAAAGAGGTATGGTGTTAATTTCCTTAACATATTTTGCACCAAGCTTACATGTTATTATGTCTTTAACACAGGGTTTAATTAATTTTTCAGCAATAGTGTATGCCTCGCCTTCTTTAGCAATTCTGTAACTAATTCTAAAAGAAGCTTCAAGGGATGCCATATTATCAGAGTATATATATTTAGCAAAGGCAGTTTTTTTCTTTTTCAATTCATCACGCTTGCGTTGAAAATATTCTATATTTTTACCACGCAAACTAGAATGGTGGGAGTCCATATGTCTTTTTAATTTAGCAGGATTTAAACTACTATTACTAACAATTTTTTCACATTCAACAAACAATCCATTCGGTTCATCTTCATTTCCTGTCCAAGTGAATCCAAATGTTAAATATGTTTCATCATATTTTCGTTTCTTCCTTGGGATGGATGAATCCTGAGATCCCGGAACAGATGTAGAAGTACTGGCTTCGTTTGATGTTGAGGGATCAATGGGCCTTATCGTTGGATCAGTTTCTGATCGTTTGAAAGTTCCAGTTTTCAGCCATTTATCCATTCTAAGAATAATTAAAATATAACGTATTTTAATAATACATTAAAAACTATTTCGTTGCAGAAACATTAATTTATTTTTACATTTTACTGAAAAAATATTTTTCAATTTTTTTATTTCCCTTTACATTTTTCTTGGAATTTTGGAATTGAAATTTTTTAGTAGCTGGAACCTTCCGCGGAACACAGTTTGAAGACCGCTGGTTTATATGAGGAACATTCATGATCTACACAGTCCTCATCAAGAGTGTCTCCTATATACTGCATTTTTAAAAGCAGTAATGTTTTTTGTAACTTTAACACTCTCCAACTGCCGTTGTTGAAGTTGATTGTATAAAATGTTACTATTTGGTAAAATTTTGTGAGAAAAACTTAACCAAAAGTTAAAATCATTGTCTCTATGCCTAATAGTGATTTTGTCGTTAACAATTGCTAAACATTCTATTAATTAACCCTTTCCAAAATTAAATTTAATTGATGAACATGACGCTGTACATATTTGGCTTTTGGATAAACAGCTTTAATTTTTGCAGGGGCTCCATTTTTTTCGCCATTCATCACTGCAACACCATCATAGCTTTGCGAAATTAATTTTTCTGGTGTTTTACTAATGTTAAATATTTACAGTTGTTCTAAAATTGCTTTACTACTGTCGTCCGCAGTATGACCAATTGGACGGAAAAATGTAATATACCGTTCCCAAATTTGCCATTTTTTAATATACCGAATTATAAATACTAATTGTGAAATATTCGCATTATCGATAGTTTCGTCTGCCTGAATTGCCACGAATTCGACTGCATCAGTTTCTTTTTTAATGTTATATTATATTTTATGAAACAGATAACACAGTCTTACAAGTTAATTTTTGTTTGCCGACTATGACCCACCGCTCTACGTCCCCCTTACCCCCTTGGGGCACAGGAAGGCTTCTTCCAGTTTGTTTTCCATATACAAATTTGCATGTACCTCTTCCATGGTAAACGACAATATTTTTATAATTGCCGTTTCAGCCGTTGGAAGTTTCATGTTTTCTGAACTGTGGACCATCCAAAGCTCGTTCTCTTTAAGGTTCCAAGATATAAATTGACAAAAGTCGGTAATATCCGTAACGAAGAACTCGATTTTTACAGGGTTTACATCAAATTTACTTGCGCGTATGTAGGTATGTATTTATAACTATAATAGAATCTTTCAATTGCATTTTCACCACCTTGCACATGTATCAAGAACCAATAACAAATAATAATTTCACAGTTATGATTATTGATTGGGGCCGCGATTTCAGCGAACCGTGGCACATACGCGGTTGGGGCTTGTTGCAGTTCTTCCCGATCACGTGCCCAAGTTAGGATAGTTGACACACCGAACCGACACTTTTCTGTCGTACAGCGTAGGCCGTATTCGTGGAGGCGCTCGTACATCAACCGAAAGTGCGCCCCAGGTGCTCGGGACTTTGGAAAAAAATGATTATATCCTCTAAATATACGTGCACAAAATTTCACAAATATCCGGTTAGCACTCGCGTTAGAAGTTTTTGGAATCTCGCGGGGGCGTTCTTGAATCCGAACGGGATCACTCGGTACTGATACGTGGCCCTGTGTGGAATCGTGAATGTCGTCAGGTGTTTTGATGGTTGGTCCAAAAGTATCTGCCAGTAGCCAGATTTTAAGTCTATTGTCGAAAACATGGTCGCGCCGCCAAAGTCTCGCAAAGAGTTCTGGCCTTTTGCAATGGCGGATTCTACGACAACTGATCGCGCGACAATTGATCGCAGACAACTCGTCGCATCACAATTGGTCGCAAGGTAAAATTCATCGAGAAGTATTTTCTTTTATTAAAACTAAATATTTTGTATTTTGAATTTTAAGTTGCAATAAATTTAGCAATCAGGTAAGGTGTAAATATCGAATTAAAAACAATTTGAATATAGATAAGTGACGAAGTTTGTAGTTGCACTTTAAAAATTAAAAAATACGAGCGTAAACACCTTGTTACATACGATTTTTTATTAATAAATTGTCATTTTGGTTATTTTTTTTTAAGAGATTGTTGTTGTGAGCCTCGACCACAACAAAGGGTTCTTTCAATTTTGTCAGAAGACACTTTTATTCACCAGGTGATTTTACTCACGTAGGGAAGTTTAATAACTTAAACCAGATCTTTTCACTTAAATACTACTTTATTCAAGCCAGATCTACAAGTTCGTGATTACAAATTCTACCGACACGGACACTGTTAACTATCGACGTTTACATTAATATCTTAATGATGAAATACTGAATACTGATCCCTGCGTTCACATTGCTAACACTTTTATAATAGTTTTAAACAAAGAAAGTACAATACTTGATCCCTGATAATAGTCACATGAAGAATTATTAGCTATCAAATATAAATAAAGTTATTGAACACAAACATTAAATACAAACAGTGGAAACTTGGGAATTCGGATTATTAACTTTGGAGATTATAATTTAACAATAATAGTCTGAGGTAAAAATGGGGGTCCGTAACACCTCCCCTCTTAGAGAAGAATTCATCTTATTTATACTGCGGGCTGAACTCTTGTTGTTTTCGTGAACTATGTCCAGTAGGAGTTGAGGGTGGCTGCTTATAAGTACGGCAGCCGTCATCATTATCATCGTCATCAGTCGTCAAATCATTAGACTGATGGTGCGTCAACCCTGTCATCTGGAACCGGGTTAGATTGTTATTTTGTTTCTTTTTCCTACAACAGTTTGATATAATGTTATTAATAACGGAATTTCGATTAGAGATCCTATCATCTTTACATTTCTTATAATAGCTATAAGTGATTTTATAGATTACATACACCATTATTATAATTATAAATACATAGAATAAAAATGAGTAATGAGAAAATGAGCTAACATAATTTGCGTTTCTTTCGGCTTGATCAATTAAGCTAGAGACTTCCTGTAAACTTTTGCTAGCTAAACCTAACTGGTGATAGTTATGGATGTTATATAATTTAGGTACATACAAGGAAAAGTCTGTACTATTAATACCATTATTCGTTTCATTTAAGCAAAGCTTAAAATCTAAGTTAAAGGGTGGTAAATAATTAAAGTTAACAAAAAAAAAGGATTCAAATAATTAAAGTTAACAACAGAAAAAAAAGGATTCCTTAGGTTCTAATACAGATTGAGTCGTAAAGGCTTTACAAGTAGAATTTAATTTAAATAATCCACTGGCCTGTAATTTGATGTTAAATGGGGTGCTATGATTCTTACAATTAATTATTACATATTCAGGAGACAATGTAGTGTACAGCCAGACATTTTGCTGATAAAGTTTATACCATAAATTTGAATTTAAATGAACAAGTTTCGTTTGGCAATTTTTTGGTACGCTTATGGTATAAGAAAACAATTTCATTTCGGATGACTCATACATGTGCGAGTAGAATATAGCTTGTTCTTGTTTACAGATTTTGTTACTTCCGTATTTTTTACAATAGTTTATTTGATTTTCAGTAATTGGCAAATAGTGCTATTTAGCCTGACCAATTAGCAGATATTTATAATTTGGTTCTATGTATAAGAAAAGATTATTATCAGTTTGTTTTGAAGGTAAAGGTATTAAATGGTATATCCTAAAAACATTTGGAGAAATTAAAGGAATATCAATTATGTAAACTAAAGTATGTTTCCATAGTACACATGCATCTCAATAACACTTACGATTTTATGAATATCGTTAGCATCAAGTGCGCCACAAAATTGTGTTCCTGGAGGAAGAAATGGAACTACCTTATTTAATTCTGCGATTAATTTTGCACATGGATGTAACTGACCAGATTTTGCTGCAAAATCGGATTGCCATAAATTATCTACCTCAGACTGATAAATTGATAACAAGGTGGAAAAGGAATTATAGTAACTATTTAGCTTTTCGATTATCTTTAATTAATCTATTTCTTTCTTTTGTTTATTCGATTGGTTTGTCGTTGCTATCAAAGTTTCATGCAATATTTGCTCATTTTTTAGAAATTACTTGAATATTAGACGTGTACAAGACGTAAGGTTATAAATTATATTTATGACGTAAAAGTGTTTCAAAGTGATGGGGCGAAGAAAGGGGATTCACTGTTTTGACGAAAGTGAATCAAAAGAATTTATGGGTTTGATTAATGTGAGTACGGTATGATTTTCCATTCTTGTCGATGACTAAGTTACCATTATCTTCCAAGGACTAAACAACATAGGGTCCCAACCATCTGGTATCTAATTTATTTTTACTGGCATTGTTTTTTAATAAGACTTGGTCTCCGACATGTAGATTTTCAGAGTAAGCATTTTTATCATATTGCAGTTTACTTTTTTGTTTACATTCCATAATTTTTTGTCGCGCAATATTCCAAGTTCTTTGAAACGTATTTTTCATTTCATAAAAGTTATTATCATAATTATATAATGGATCTTTTAGAAAAAGATGAAGGGGTTACAAATTTTCGGCAAAATATTAGTTCCAAGGGCGTAAAATTTGTTGAATTTTGAACGGACGTGTTGTAGCAAAGCATTGATTGTGCTATCAAGGTATCCCACGATTGTGGATCTTTATCAACAAATGATCTTATGTAATCAATTAATGTCCGATGTGATCTCTCTAATGCTCAATTTGGTTGTGGATGATAAGCTGTGGTTTGGAGCTGTTTTATCTTTAAAATTTTACAAATATTTTTGAATAATTGACTAGTGAAATTTGAGCCTTGGTCCGTCACAATGGATTTTGGTATTCAGAAATGACAAATTACGTTTTGTACGAATACCTCTGCAATGGATTCTGTTTCTTGGTAGTGGAAACGCGAATGAGAACTTTGTTAAATCATCTTGAAGGGTAAGAATATATTTATTACCATTATGCGTTACTGGCAAAGGTCCCACAATATCTAATTAAATCTTATCAAATGGTTCACTTGAAGTTCTTGTAATGACCATGGGTTGTTTAACAGTTTTGTTCCTTGTTTTCACTTTTTGA